TCTTTCCCTGATCGGGGGAAGCGTGTCTTCTTGCTGCATGGACACTTGAGTCTCTGCGACTGCTCCCTTGCATTCTTTGCTGCTACTGGCATCATATAGTCTTTTTCTCTTCTATATTATTGTTTCATGAAGACTGACAATAGGTAGCTCAGGGGCTTTGCTAACAAAGGTAAACCTGAGTGCCTGATGTGTTTCTGTGGTTAGTTTCCTCTTACAGCTAAATTAGAAAGATCTTATGGGTGATGTTTTGTATGAAAATGATGACAGTGATATACAAACCCACTTTTTTCTGCTTTCTAATTACACGAAACTCCAATTAAAGTCATTGGGAAGTCTACTCCATTAGAATTTGCATTGGATCCATTGCAGGCATGAGAGTTGTTTCTGCAGCCTGATGGGCAGGTCTAGAGCCTGGTGAGCAGGCACTGCACAGAGCGTGGGGGTTACAGCCACCACCGGTGGGTTTACATGGGCAGGGCAGTGTTGCATGAACTCAGCTGTGAACCTGCCTGCTGCTAACAGTCTGTTTCTTGGGGTCGTCAGGGACAAAGTGAGGCTTCACATAGCATTTAAGGCACTGAAGTGTGACTCGGGATGTTCTCCATATGGAAGAGATTATGGAAGAAATTTGCACTCTATGGTCTAGGCTAAAATCCGTGATCAGGATGAGTGGAGTGTGGGGACGGTGTATACGAGAGGGCAGGACACCCGTGGGACGTCCAGGGAAGGGCTGGAGTATAATGTGACCAAAGAGTGGGATGTGAAGAAGGAAGTGACAGGTTATATCTACAGGAGGCTCATTTCTGGCGATGGAGGGGGCCAGGTGACAACTGGGAATACTAATTTATCTTGATTAAAGGTAGCATGTCTGACTTGCTAAACCTGCAGAAAAGAACAGCTCTCTGCAAAAATTCCTGTCCTGATGAAGGCTGTGTGTAAGAAGTGATGACACACAATGTGCTGGAATTTAAATCTAAAAGCCGTGAGCTTTAATTCTGTGTGTGGACTGTGGCCAGAGGGAGGGGGCTTTCAAACTAGGTATCTTGGTTCAAGTTCAGTTTCTGATTTAGCAGCTGCACATCCAGTTAACGTGAGTGGGAATTGTGTGCCCTTGCCCCAGGAAGAAGCTTGGTCTGGCTTTTTTCAGCAGACATTGATTGCTTTCATGCAGCATTCCCATGCTTTTACCTAATGTCGTTCTAACTTTGCAGGAACAAGATGTACATTTATATAGGGCCAACCAGATACACTAGCCTGGAAATTTCAATTTTCTCCTGGTTTTGAAACACAACATTTACACATCCTCATATATCAAAAGAGCTAAAGTTATTAGGACTTTTCATATGACAGGTATTTCAAGGAGCAAGTTAGATGTCTCTTTGTAACTTCTGCTTTTTTTCTCTTCTTGGTTTCAAAAAGCAAGTTATTCTGTGCTACTTTCACTACGTTAGTCCAACAACTGTTAAAAAGCTTTGGTTGAATTTCTGTTTAGTTGAGAAAAAAGTACAAATAAAAGCAGCAGCAGATGGTCCCTTTGTGACTGAATGAAGAAAAAGGGTTTTGAGAACAATATGTGAATAGGTGTAGTCTAATAAAACAGTCAGCCACCTGCTGCCTCCATCCTTCAACAAGATTCTGTTGCGTATTCGGAGAATTAATGACTAGTGTATATCCTTACGTTTCATTTAAATGGAAGCTCTAAGGAGCAAACAGACCTTTTTGTCCCAGTGCTGATTGAGTTGTTCTCTTGGGTTTGTATTGTTTCTGCTCTGTCCCTTTTAGTTCCATCCTGTGACTGCTCAAGAGCTAACAACGGTTTGGCAGTGTTTCATTTCTCAAACCAAAGAAACATCTTAAAACTTAGAAAGCACCTACACATTTTTTCCTGGTTTAAGCTTGCTAACCTAAAGTACACGTGGAAAAGAAGTATTCTACCACTTCCCAGTACACACAATTTGTGTTTGGTTTTTTGGTTTTTTGTTTTTTGTTTTTGTTTTTGTTTTTGTTTTTGTTTTTTTATGTACCCAACCTGTTGCTTGGTTTCTGTACACTGTAACGTTCTTGCTTTCTCCTCTAGGGATTTACTCTTCAGCCTGATTATCAGAATATCATCAATCCAACCTCAACAGCTGCACAAGTTGTTACCCAAGCGATGGAGTATGTTCGTTCAGGGTGCAGAAATCCTCCAGCACAGACCGTGGACTGGAATAACGACTACTGCAGTAACGGGTAAGCAGCCAGTGAATGCCACCTTGTGTCGAGCAGCATTCATGACACGAGCATCTGCCAGAATTTGCAAACAGCTTTGTTGCCTGTTTCCCCACAGTATTTCAGGAGCACATCTGTGATGGCACTGTATGTATTCAGCAGTTAGACTGTTATGGGAGTTTTGAATACATTTATTGATTAGACGTTGTTGTCACCTTATCACAGCACATCCATTTTGGTCTTAGAGAACTTCCATTCCTCAGTCGATCAGAATGGAAATCCTAGGGAGAATGTGTAGGAAAGAAGTGGTAAGGTCACTGCCTCCTACTTGAGAGGCAAATGGGGTGAACTATTTTCTCCAAGTACTCCATTGCTGCCAGTGAAATCAACTAGTTTGGGTCATGAAAACGCACACCAGCAAGCTATGGGGATGAGGTGCGTGATCCAAGATAGGTGGAAGGGAATGGCATGAGGACTGTAACTAGAAACAAAACACCATGCCTGCAGGAGCTCTATGCCCTGACCATAAGGTTAGTGGCAGCTCCTTCAAACCCTCAACTCCCCTGCACCACGGTTTGGTGGAGTCACGTCGCAGTCCCAGGAACTGCCTGGAAATAGGTAAGACTTTGAACAGAAGATATCTTTAGAGTTTTAAATGATAGATGGTGTGCCCTGTGAACATGCTCACCAGCCTGGCCTCCCTTCACCTCAGCGTGAATCCCCAAGTCTCAAGCAGAGAAAAGCTCTCGGTTGCTACCAAAGCGTCAGATCCAGCCCAGACAAATGAACACGAGCAGAACTGAAGACGAGTTTTACTCATTACATTTACTCAAACTGAGAATTTCACTTGCATTATTGGTTTAAAGTGTTTCTGGAACTCAAACTAGAACTGAATAAAAAGTCTTTTACTGGTTGCTAGTTCAGAACAACGCCTTGGCTAGAATCTGCTGACACTGAGGCAGACTTTAACTAGGCTGCACAGCAGCATCACTCTCCCCCATGCCTGTCACTGCTGGCCCGTGATTTGCCCACTTGTTCAGCAGAACGGTATCTGTGCTGTACCACCGTCATGTCTTGACCTGTGCTGCAGGCCCTTGTAGGAGCCTACCCAGCCCACAGACTTTTGTGCCCATTTAAACTGCGCTCTGAATAGGCTGTTCTCTGGCAAACAGGCCATAGCTACTTCTGGCTTGGACTCCTGATCTCTTCTGGAAAAAGCAATGTGTGATCAGTATCACAGAATCACAGAGTCATGAAGGTTGGAAAAGACCTCAAGGATCACCAAGTCCAGCCGTCAACCCAGCACCACCCAACCCACTAACCCATGTCCCCAAGCACCACATCACCACATTTCATTGCCAGCAGTGCCTTCTAGATGCCCACCAGGCATAACTTTCCATCAGCAGAAGCTTTCTCTGAGCAGACCCTGTGTATACCCTGTGTAGATACGCCTTTGTGGATCTCTGTGCATGGATTTAGCCTCTCTCTGCTGTAGCATTGGCATGAATTGCCAGGACAGCATGGCTTGCTCTGTGCTGCTCCCAGACTCCAAACCAAGTAAACTGTGAAGCTGTGGAAGAACAGAACTGGTGCCTGGGTTTTGGCAAGGAAGCAGGAGACTGAGAGTAAAGCCTCTCTCCCCGAAAATCTCTGCAGTGTGAACGAAGCCCCATCAGTGAGACTTCTGCTTTAAATGATATATTTTTTTCTGACTTCTACAGACTGTTCCGAATTAGAAACTGGTAAATGACAATTTTTGCACTGAACTGACATGCTTCAGTTGAAGCTGAAACCCAGCAAGAGCTGAATGTAGAAGTGTGCTGGACACAGTGGAAGCTCTCTTGTACAACCTGGTCTTCAGTAGAGAGTTGGCCTAGGTGGCTCTGCCAGAAGCTTCTGGTGTTCCCTTGCACATGCTTCCCTGAACCTGCCAACCTGACACATTCTGGCTATGTCTGCACTAGTAAATAAAATAGACCAGAGATATCAGTGGCTGGCACCCATGTTCATGTAACACCCGTCCTCTAAGGAAAGTGGCATTGGAACAGGCTGCCCAGGGCAGTGGTGGAGTCACCATCCCTGGGGGGGGTCAAGAAACGTGTGGATGTGGTGCTTGGGGACATGGGTTAGTGGGTTGGGTGGGGCTGGGTTGACGGTTGGACTTGATGATCCTTGAGGTCTTTTCCAACCTGAATGATTCTAGGATTCTATGATGCTATGATAAGGTGCTTATGGAGTATCAATCAGAGACCCGTCTAAACCCTCCTCTGTATTAATGTGGTTGTGAGAGAAGAATAGTCAACGCTTCCAGCCCACTAGTGCACGTGATCCCAAACCAGGGCTTAAGCCCATGTCCCAGGCCTGTGTAGTTTAGAGCCAGGTGTGGTCTCCGAGTTGCCACCTACATGCCACTAGGATTTTTCTTATTATTACTGTGGTAATGTAGCCGTGCTTCAGTGATATGCTTGGAATTAACAACATGCAGGAGGGTTGTGGGGTGGTTTTTTTGAAAGACTAGGACTAAAAATTTGACAAATTTTTTTTTTTTTAAATCACATTTGTTCTTTTTCTCTTTGAACAGGGGCATGCAGAGGGACAAAGCACTCTACCTTACCTGAAAATCTGAAACACCTTTCCTTTCCACTGAGGAATGCAGGGAAGTCTTTTCATCATGGATTGCTTTATGCAGTCAAGGCAGTTCTGCATTTTATTAGGAAATACAAGTTGCTAAGCACTTAGGACTATTCGAGCTCGTGGGTCACCCACTCTGGAAAAAAAAATAGTCTTGCTTCTTTCTCTTTTTTTTTTCCCCCCCTCATTTTTTTCCTCTTTCTTTCTCCTTTCACCCCTGCCCTGAGATCCTTTAACGGACATTGCTTTTCTTCTTCCCTGAAGGAAACTTGGACCATTCAGATTTTATGTTGGTTTTTGCTGTGAAGTGCTGCGATAGTAACTGCCTTAGCAACTGTAGATGTCTCGGATAAAAGTCCTGGATTTTCCATTGGTTTTTCATAATGGGTGTTTATATGAAACTACTAAAGACTTTTTAAATGGCTTGATGTAGCAGTCATAGCAAGTTTGTAAATAGCATCTATGTTACACTCTCCTAGAGTATAAAATGTGAATGTTTTTGTAGCTAATTGCAATTGAAACTGGCTCATTCCAGTTTACTGATTTCACAATAAGGGTTAAATTGGCAAACATTCATATTTCTACTTCATTTTTAAACAGCTGACTAATAGTTCTATATTTTCAAAGTATTTGGAGAAAAAAAAAGTAAAATATTCCCAAATGATATTAAAAATATTGGCTTTGTCTCATGAAATAAACACATAAAAGCTAGGGGAAAAAAACCTAATGTTGATAAAGAGCAAACACATTTATTTTGTACTGCCTAAAAAAATGCTTCTTTTTTTTAAAGAAAATCACTTTATGTGTACTGGTTAGTAAAATGTCATTTAAGTCCTTTTATGTATAAAACTGCCAAATGCTTACCTGATATTTTATTAGATGCAGAAACAGATTGGAGACAGCTAAATTATAACCTTTACATAGGCTATGTATTATTGTTTCTTCATACTGTGTCTGTATTTAATCTTTTTTATGGAACCTGTTGCGCCTATTTATGAAATAATAAATATAGGTGTTTGTAAGTAAATTTGTTAGCATTTTAAAGAGGTTTCTTTGACGCTTTAACTTTTGCTGGCACAAATTGTTCACAACGGATGTGAATACTTTGTTTAGTTTTTACAGTGACATATATAACACCAAACCTGCTTTACTGGCAGAAAATGAAGGTAACCAATACTTACTTCTCTATTTCTTTGGTCGTTAAGGGGAAAAAAAAAAAAAGTACTTCAAGTAATTCCCTTTTTAAAGCCTCGTAACAGGAAGTTGCCCAGAAAAAAGACAAAACTATCTGAATGCTGCTTCTTGAAACTTCATCAGTTTTGGTTAATTAGTCAAGTGGAATAAAAATATTACAACGATAATATTACTAAATATGTTTCAGCCATTTTATTAAACATGCAAAAGGTCCTACAGAGTTTTAGGGAGTACATCACGAATCTGTCTTAAAGTGGAAGAGAAGTTCAACAGCCAGAGGGAAACAGATAAAAAAAATTCCAAAAGAGGTATTTTGTCAATGTTTTGGATCAGGGATAGCTCTGAGAATATATTTCTGGAGGATTTCATCCCAGCTGCCTGTCCAATTAATGGAGAGTACCACTGATTTGTGTTTTTTATGTGAAAGAAAGAAAGCAACTTGGCTCAAATACACATTGTGCAATGCCATTGATTTTTCTTACAAACCAAAACACAAACACAGGCATGCTTGCTTTGGAATTATTTCAGGCAACGTACAATCAGAATCACTTGGCATGTAATAACTAATAAATAATGCAGATCAGATGTGATTACTCAAATGACTGTAGCTGAGAGATCTAATTTTCCTGTCTTGAAACTGTATGAGAACTTGTGATTAAATTCACAGTTTATTGTCTGTTTAGTACTTTAGAAATATACCAGCACTACTAATTACCCAATGTTTTCTATTTATTATATTATAGCAAACTACATTTTCCACTTATATTAATTCTAAAGTGAGAAGATAATTACTGGGGACAAGAAAAATCAGCTTTGATTTTAACAGGCAGTTTTCCTTTTTTCTTTTATGGAAGAGAATTGTGTTATCTCCATTTCTTTTAGAGCAGGTCACATAAAGTTGTTAATTTCGGTATCCAAGCAGAGTTCAAAATACAAGAAAACTTTAATGTAAATAAATAAAAAAAATACATCATGAATAAAATACTTATTCTGTATGAACCTCTGGCTCTTTGGTGTCTGGTTTTCGTGTCTGACACTGGGAAAAAGCAATGGTTGCTGGCCCAAGGCAATCTGCTGTTTGTTTTCAGTGCATATTGGCTGATACAAATCGTCAATAGATGGAGCCTAAAAGGTTGAGATCCTTTTGGAAGCAGGTGAAGCTCCACCGGAGTTCATGAAGATGTGCCCCATCCTTCACTGATGGTGGCTTCGGCACCGCAGTGAAACCTAAACCTGAGTCACTGGCTGTCAGTCACCGTTTGTCATCACTGATGAGAAGGAGAGAGCACGCAGGAACGAAACAACCTGCACATTGAAGCAACACAGCAACAGCAAGTAAATCTGGTAAAGACATCTGGCAAAGTGAGAGAAACCCAGGGAAATGATGTCTTCCATTAATTGGCATTAGTATTTTTGAAAATTATTTCTTAAAGTGGTAGGCAAAATGCAAGATTAGCACCATAGGCACTCGGGAAGATGCAAATCCCCTTTGCTTGCACCAAGGTAAGCAGAAGTTTGGAAAAGGAAAGGCTTTCTGCTGCTCTCCCATTCTGGCCACACAAGTTCCAGGCTCTCCATCACCAAACTCACAGAAAACCTCTTCAGCTGCTGCCTCTGACCCAAAGAATTTCTTCCAAGGGACCTGCTGTAGGATTTCCCCCCCCATTCATCCACAGGCAGTGAGGAATGTATTCACGGAGGGCCCCAGCCATGCACAACAGAAACTCGTGGGTTTGTGCCCACTTCTCCTGATTCCAGCAGTGACTCTGCCAAGTGTTCCCTGCGAGGCTCCTCTGGAAACAGGAAACCCAACAATAAAAGAGCTCATTAGTGGAAGGTGAAACACGCTCTTACCACCATCCTCAACCTTCTGAGACTTCATCTCAACCTGAACCAACAGCTCCAAGACTGCATCTGACTATTTCTTACCCGATGGTGTAAACATGGCAGGTCCACAGAGATCTCCTCCTTCTGTGCTCTTGGGAAACAGAGCAGCTAAAAGTCCTTATTCTGCCCACACTGGGCAAAAGAACCCAATCAGGAGCTACTCCCCAGGACTCCCATTGATAGGTAGATAGATGGATAGACAGATTTATAGATTCATATATATACGACCATTGCCTTGTTAATTATTTATTTGGTGTCTTCAAGTCCTTACGCATTTAAATAAATCGTTATTTTGCGAGTTTAGCAGTGTGCTGGCAGTGCTGCAGGAGATGCTGAGCACCTTGGAGAACACGAGGTGCTTTGTGTCAGGTCTCGCAGACAGCATTTGCTTTCCTTTGCAGAGTCATGTATTTCCTTATTACCCAGCAGCGCATTCAATCACCACTCAAATGTAGTTCTTATTCCACCGACAAGAGGACAAGTGAGAACAATGACTTGTAGCATTTCGGAGTCTGTCACAGTTGCTGCCTAATTAGAGCAAGCCACTAGCAAATGTGCATCTGCATGGATCTCGCGACTGTCATCATTTCACATTCTATTAAGGGCTTGCTGCGAGAGACACTTTACAAAGAAATTTCGTTCAGGCTAATACCAAGCTGGCAAACATGTAATTGGGTAGAAAATAAAACAGGAGAGGGAAAAAAAAAAAAAAAAAAAAAAAAAAAAAAAAAAAAAAGAGGAAGGGTAAAAGAAAAGGAAACCTTCCTATTTGGAAAACAAGCTGTGTGCAAAAATCCACAGTATACTGCGGAGAAGATCCTTACCCTCTGACAATTCTGTGTTTACAACGAGTCTGAGCATAATTGCTCTGATGGGCTGTCAAGGAAAAGATTAATTTGGCAAAGATGAGTATTGACTTGCTGTTTATTAAGGCTTTTAAACAGCTGTATCTGGCCCCGTTCCTGTAAGTGCCTGTCATGTCTGCACATCAGGCTCACACCCGGGTGCTTGCCAGCTGTTGCTAAACAATCTTACCACTCTGAGTGTCTTTCTCCAGGCCAAACAGCACGAGCAAAGTATTGCCAAATGAGTCTCTCCCGTCCTGTCAGTTTTCAGGGGCTCTGAGAGCTCAGATGTCGGTTGACGGCTCGATGGCTGAGCGGATAGCAGCTGCCGGCAGCGGGCAAGGTGGTCAGAGAGGTGCCACCCCAACCTGTGCAGGTGCCGAGGGAGCGGTGCTGCTGGCCACCTCGCCAGCACAGAAAACCACCGCTGCAATGCCCTTAGGGACCACGACCAAAGTCTGGGAAAAGGCAGAACTCCAGAGCGAGTGGCTCATCCCCCCGGGGCTCTGATGGATAAAGGCAACGGGCTGGGGAGGCTGGGTTAAAGCACAGTAGATGCCGTGAATCTTTGCAAAATGAACCAACATTTTCTTCTGGGATTCTTTTTCCCCAGACTGTTCATAAACAAAAGTCGTAAAAAGCCACGCACACAAAATACCCTGGGTCAACGGAAACCTGTAAAAGGAAAGATGTCAGCTGTTATTTTTGTTACTCAAAACATTTCAGCTTGCATTCTAGGCTTTAGCAGTGAGCTCCGAACCAAATAATACCAATGGAAAGAAGGATAAAAGGCTGCAGCTAAACGCCAATACCAATAGCCACGTGTTACCATTAACGTTGATTTGGCCTTTCCAATAGAAGTCTGATTTTCTGGGATTAATCTCGACCTTTTCAAGTTGCATCAGGCTGAAATAAGTTGTCAGAACAGATGTGAATTTTGTTTGCAGAGTAATCCAGTAACCCTTCGAACATCAGTGTTTTCCAGACCACCAGCCAGCTGAACAGTGAGGATGCGGGCAGCAGTCGCAGAGCACACACAGCAGGCAGAACCAGAGCACTCAGAGCCATGTCCAGAGGCTGGAAGTTTAGGTCAGAAAATTTCAAACTGGAAAAAAAAATACTTTTCCTTTTAACTCTCAATTGACCAAGCAGCATGGTGGTTGCACAACCACTTGAAAAAAAAGATGTTAGATCAAGGATGGATACCTTAGTAAAATGGGTGTTCTTCAGCTAAATCAAATGTAAGTCAGTGATATTCGATGCATCACTGATTCCCAGAAGGCTGGGTGCACATTTTGTAATACAGAAGACTCTGAAGGCTCCAAGAATCACACATTTCAGATGCTGCTCTAAACTAGCTTTCCAATAAGTTTTGCCTTATAATCTGCACAGCTCCAGTATTAAAAAAACAAACCAAAACAAACAAACAAACAAACAACAACAACAAAAAAAACAACAAACCACCAAAAAA